GCCTCTCAGCCAGGCGGTGGCCGGAAGAGCCACTGAGGGGAGGCCAAAGAGAAGCTCCTGCGAAGCCACGGAGATGCACCCTCCACTCCTCCCTGTGGACGCAGCCATCGGCTGGGTCAGGGTGTGCCTTACTTAGTCTCACAGTGTGTGGCGGGAGTCTCAGGCCCATGTCATAGGGTGGCAGATGGCATCTGAGCCTGAGGAGCCTGGGGGATACTCCTGCCCAGTGAGGTGGCAGGGCCGGTGCAGGACCCTGGGCTGAGGGGCTGAGGCAGGAGGGACAGCAGGTAAGGCAGGGCCTGAGCTGGTGGGTAGGAAAAGGCTTGGTTAGGCTGATGGGGTGGGGGACGGAAGCAGGTGATGGCATGGGTGGGGCAGCCACCTGAGTGGCTGTGGGGGCGGGGAATGCTCCTTCTTAAAGATGGAGGGACGGGAAGGACTGAGCAGGTGCCGCTGGTCAGCAGGAGCGAGCCCAGGCAGAGGCCAGAGTGGAGGTGGTGGCTGAGCCTGGGCCTGCAGGTGTGCCTGAGGGTCCACCGAGGCAGGGCACAGTGGGTCAGTGGTGGGAGCCAGAAGGCTCTTCCTCTTGGCTCAGGAGCCACCGGATGTAGCCCCAGATGGGTGATGCCCAGGTGGCCATGCTCAGCTTGGGGCCACTCCACTCTGGGCTGGTGCCCTGCAGCCAAGGGACCATGGCAGAGGCTCCTACATGGCTGAGGACAAGTCCTTCGGTGACTGCAGCCAGCATCCATCAGGCACTTCCCTGGCACCAGCACCATTCCAGAAGCTTCAGTGATCTTGTTTAGAGCTCACAGCACTTAGAAGATACCTGTAACTCTTGTCCCCACTTCAAGATGAGGGGACATAGGTGGCAGGGCTGATGGGGGTCCTCAAGGTCAGGGCACTGGGCTGAAGGGGCCTGAGGGCTGCCGTGGCCAGTCACCACTGACCGGGCAGCTCAGACAACAGTGCGTCCTCTCACCACTCTGCAGGCTGGACGTGAGGTCACGGGGGCGGTGGTCGGGTTGCTTTCTTCCGAGGCCTCTCCCTTTGGCTTGTTGATGGTCGTTTTCTCCCTGTGTCCTCAGTGGTCATCCCCCTGTGTGTGTCTGTGCCCCAATCTCCCCTTCTTATAAGGACACCAGACATATGGATTGGGGCCCACCCATGTGACCTCGGGTACCGTAATCACCTCTTTAGCGGACTCTCTTCTAACACAGTCACAAGCAGAGGTTCTGGGGCTCAGGACTTCGACATGTGGATTTGGGGACAGAGCTCACTCCTCCTTCCCCATCTGTCGTCTGTCCTCTGAGGACCCTCCCCATCCTCACCTGCCTGACACTGTGAGGTGCCATCCCACTTGGGACATGTGGGCCCTGCCTACCCAGTGACTGAGAGGCCAGCCCTCAGGCCCTTCCCAGGGGGCTGTCTGCCGAACTCCCAGGAGGGGGACAGTGGGCAGACGTGCACCAGAGGCCACAGGTGCCCCGTACGGCGGGCGCCTGCTGGAGACCCCACGGGAGGCAGCCGCGCAGGAAGCTCCTGTCGGGCCTCCCCTGGGCGGGACAGCCGTCCACGAGGCTCGCTGGCCTTCCTCGTCCAGGCCCTGTCCTCGTCTGGCTCCTGCACCGCGGCCACGCAGGACCCCACTGTGTGCTCACCCCCATTCTTATGAGCGCTCCACTTGTGCTAAGTCCCGGTGACAGAAAAACACACTAACAGGAAAAGTGTTACTGTCCCGACTGAAGCGTGCCCGGCGCAGCCGCGTGAACACTGCTGTGCTTCCTGGTGACAAACACACTGGGATTGACCCAGGCTCCCATGGCAACTGCACCTCTCCCCACCGCTTCTCTGGCCAGGGCTCTGGAGCAGTTGGTGCATCGCGGGCAACCACCGTGTACCCACAGCCTGCCTCGCCTGCCAGCGCCCGAGGGACCCTGGGACACAGCAGCCAGCTCGCCACACCGGAGAGCTCAGGAAGGCAGAAGCCATGATCCAGGTGGCGCATCTGGGGCCTGGACTCTCCCCCGAGCATTTGTGGGCTCTGCCTGGTGGGAGGGTCTTTGGCCTGTAGACAGAGGGGGTGGTCTGCAGAATGACGCCGTGCCCCTCTCCCCAGCCCCCACCCAAGAAGTCGACGACCTAATCCCAGAACCTGGGACTATGTTATGTCACCTGGCAAAGGGGGATTAAGGTTGCTGGTCAGCTGCCCTTGAGATGGGAGATTACCGTGGATCATCCGGGTGGGCCCAGTGTCACCGAG